TCACCTAATTTTTAGTGTTTTTGCCATAAGTTAATTATCCTACTTTTTTATTTTACTTTTATAGATAATATTGCTGCTAATATACAGCAAAGTTTTTGCTTACTGATTACATAGCACAGCTCTACATACTATGTTTTGTTTTTTTGTCATAGGGTGTGTTGCCAGAGAGAAAAAGAGGAAAAGTAAGAAATCACCCCTACAGGGAATGTCCACACTACAATCCCTTCTCTTTCCCCTGGGGATTTGGGTCACACATGCACAGGCACCAGACCTAATATTTAAGCCACAAGACTTGGGACTCAAACTGTGGTTGGCCATGTGGGAGTCCAATGCCTTGACCACCATGCGAACTGCTGGCCCACCAAACTTTTTTAAAGGTTTTTGCCATAGGGCACATGCATTCACCAGAGACAGAGAAGGAAAGTGAGAAATCACTCCCTATGGGAGCAAGAACTCCTGTATTTTAACAAAAAAAACCTGACTGAAAAATGGGTGAAGAACTTAAATACACATTTTTTTCTCCAAGAAATACATATAATTAATCAAAGAGCAGATAAAATGATATTCATTATTAGTAATCATTATGGGAATGCAAATCAAAACCACAATAAAATAACACTTCATACTCACTAGAACACTACTATAAAGAAACAAACAAACAAAAGTGCAGAAAATTGACACAAACAGGTGGCATGGAGGTTAAGGGCACTGGACTCCCACATGGCCAACCATGGTTTCAGTCCCAGACCTGGCAGCTTGCTTTCTTATTCTCCCCCTCTCCCCTCTCTCTCTGGTCAAACTAAAATAAATAAATAAATGTAAAATAAAATAATTCTTTTTTAAAAAAATTAGTTAATTTTATTTATTATTATTTAAGTTTGCTATAAAGCATGTGTGCTCACCTAAGAAAGCAAGCAAGCAAGCTACCATGTCCGGAACTCAAACCACGGTAGGCCATGTGGGAGTCCAGCGCCCTTAACCACCACACCACCTGCTGGTCCCAATAAAATTATTAAAAAAAAAAAAGAAAGAAAGAAAGAAAAAGTGTTGGCTACAGGTCCAGACTGTAGTGCAGTGATACAATGCAATGTTTCTCTACATGCAAAGATTTTGGTTCATGTCTGGGGACCTCCTTGAGTAATAAGCATGCATGAGTCCAGGATTCAGGGCTGGGTGAAGTTGGTTTTTGGCATCAAGACTCTGTAGGTTGCTGTTTTTTCTCTCTCTTGGACTCTCTAGCTCATGGAAAAAATAGGTTTATACAGGGGATCAGCAGATGGCATAATAGTTACATTGCTAGACCCCCACATAGTTGACCTCAGTTCGAATCCCTGTCCTGGAGGCTTTAAACTCATGCTTGGCATGAGTGCATACATGCCCAAGATCTCAAGAGGAGAATGAAGTGATTGTGGTCTGCTCATCCAAACCTAGGGAGTGATTTCTACTTTCTGTCTCTCTGGCAAGTACAAGTTCCCTATGCCAAAATGTCATTTAAAAAAAAGGAAGAAAAAGAAAAATAGGTTTAAAAGAAAAAAAAGGGGGGAACCAGCAGTTAGCGTAATGGCTATGTCGCTGGACTCCCACGTAGTCGACCGCGGTTCGTGTCCCGGACCCGGTGGCTTAAAACTCACGCCGGGCGCGTGTGCCTGCGTGCCCAAGATCCCGAGAGGAGAATGGAGGAGAAGGGATTGC